AAACCAATGGCCTCGAGCGTTTCCCGCAACTTCTGGTGCCAAGCTCTGCCTGCCTGGCGTAAACCGTACAACGCTTTTCGCAACAGACACTTCATACCTGCGCCACCCGTTTCAAAACCAGGCGGTTGGTCACAATAAATCACCTCCTCCAGCGTCCCATTGAGGAACGCAGTGCGCACGTCTAGGTGGTGTACCTCAAATCCTTCAGCCGCAGCCTTCGCCAGGAATGTACGCAACATCACCTGATTGCTACCAGGCGCGAATACCTCATTGAAGTCAACACCTTCCTTCTGCTTATAGCCCTTTGCTACCAACCGGGCTTTGTATCGTTCCACTTGACCGTCTACACCCCGCTTCACGTCGTACACCCACTTCACCGGAATCGGTTTCACCCCAGGCGGCGGTACCTTCAGCTCCCACGTATCTAATGCGTGGATAGATCCGATTTCTTCGGCCATCGCCTCCTGCCATTTGTCCCGTTCCGGAGAGGCCATCGCTTCCTCGTAGGTGCTCGGGATTTTGACGTCCGATACGTTAACAGCAAGGTTGAGTCGCTGGGGCGGATGACGGTCACGTTGGGGGTAACGATGTTGTGTAGAGGCAGCTGCACCAGCCTTATCCTCCCCCTCAGCTGCCTTACCGACAGCTTTAGGTTTCCCCTTAGTGGTCCCGCTGGTAGTCTTAGGCTTCCCTTTGGCGGAATCGGCTGCACCGCCAGTAGCCGTGGGTTCCTCCTCAGGTGCCTCAGGTGCTGCGCCAACTACCATAGGCTCCCCCTCATTCAACTCAGCTGAATCTCCAATCGTCGAGTTCCCTTGACTATCCTCTACGGCCTCGCTCGGACTAAACTGCTCCCCTTGCCGGGGAGGGGCTGCAGTCTTGCAACTACTGCTAGCCACATCGTCCTCATCATCACTATCGCTTCCGCTGCCGCTGCTTTCGCTATCATTTGCAGGCAGCGTGCGGGATGTTGGCGTCTCCTCAAAAAGCACGCTCCTGCTCACTACGATACACTTAGACCCGTCCAATAAAATCCGGTATCCTTTGCAGTTGCGTTCGTAGCCCACAAACACACCCTTCTGGCTCGTGGCATCGAGCTTATTGCGGTGCCTCCTCTCGACATGCACCCACGCAGTACACCCAAACACGCGCAAATCAGAAC